TCCTAATATGTAATGATATGCTCTTATTGTGGAAATTCACCTTGAGTTGCTATTTTTATATGAGTTGGATAATTCTTTTGAAATGATTGGTTTATATTGCTTGGTAAGATTTGATGATGCTTATGATTGATAATGCTTGATGAAAATAGAAGAATATCTACTGCTGCTTGATAATGATTAGGAATGATGCTTAATGAATAATGATACCTTGGATATGCCTAAAAACTACATTGCATGTATTTATTGAAAATATGAGTAATTGATACATATGTTGAACATCTATTTAAATGCTCATACTTTTCTAGTTCCATGAATATTTGAGTATCAGATGAACATGTTGAATATCTATTTAAATGTACATTTATTCTAAGCTCATGATTACTCTCCTAACATTTATATTTTTTAACAAACTTTAACAATTGGTGTTGAGCTTATGAACTCTTGGAATGGAGAAAGTCTTTGAATTGTCCCATGGTTCCTTCAATTTGGTATCATGAGTGCTAGAGATTTTCAATGACAATTGATGGTGAGAATCCAACAATTGGTGTTCCTCATTCTTGGTAATATCTTTTTGACACTAAATTACTATTATGCTTTACATTGCTTCTCACTTAAACTTGAATGATGAAATGCATTGTTGGTTTCAAGCTATCAATCATCTAAATTGGTATCTAGTCTTAAACTTGTATCAAGCTTATATTCTCTCTTTTCACTTGAGATTTCTTAAACATGTTGGAGCCTTGCAAATTGATATGCCTGGAATGTTGAAAATGAGAGTCCTTACTAATATTACGCTAATTGATTTAGTGAGCTTTATAATGATTCTATCTTTTAAAATTGACCTTGTGCTTATTTGTTCTTACAAAAAGGGGATTATACTTTAACAATTGGTCTATTGAGGTTTAACACTTGGTATTGGAGCTAAAAATTAAAGACATTATGTGATTATCGAACATCTTTATGCTTATCTTTCTTGAACTTCATTGTTGTTATGCCCACATCTTGCATATATACACCCATATATATCTTTATGACATACTAGATTGGTTATTCTCAATGCTTGGTCATAGTTGGGTGGTTAAATGGCTTTATGCATGATCTAACGGCTTGTGATTTTTTTAATCTCTTGAGCTTAAGTGCTTAATACTCACACTTTTAAGCCTTTTTGATTTAACAAAAAAGAAAGAATGCTTGCGAGAAAATTTGGAAACTTGATGCATATGTAGAGAGGGAGAATCTAAATTCAAAACTCTTTTCACTTTAGCTTAAATGTTTTCAAAAAGGGCTTAAAGACTAATTGAGTTAGGGGGAGCTTTCAAAAGGAGGTTTCAAATGCAATTTATGCTCATGTTTTTGTCAAATAAAAAAGAAAGAGATTCTTATCTTTAAAATTATTATAATTTTGATTAGGACAAAATGATAAAATTTTCTTGAATACTATTTGAGTAATCCTTGACAAGTTCTTGAAATGATTTAACTCTTATACATTTATTCTTATATGATCACAAGTAGGATTTTTTTAGTTGTGTGAATTCTTGATGTTATTTAACTATCACACACTCACTTTATTAATATCTACAATCTTGAATGACTTAGTTGCATGAGTGTTAAGCCTGCATGAATGAGTTCTCCTCATGATCTCCCTAACAATTGCTTTTAAGATGTTTGAAAGTGCAAGATAGGTCACAAGTGGTGCAGTTTATTTCAACGCATTCAACAATGATTGATCTACACAACACTAAGCTTGTTTTAAATCAAGAAACTTAGTTATCACTCAATATTTGACTACATGGAAGATATGGTCAACTAAGTATGCAAAAATGTTAGGTAACTTGAAGATTCAAAAGCCTCAGTCGATCCTGGAGCAAGCCAAGTTGACCCTATGCAAAAAGGATGAAAAATGTGAAGAAACACAGTCTTAGTCAACCTTATAACATTGCCAGCTGACCTTTAAGCAGAACGCATGAAAAATTTGATGTTTTAAGAAGCCTTAGTCGACCATAAAGGCTTACTAGTTGACCTTCCAAGGCCAGAACTTAAAATGATGAGCATTCAGGAAGTGGATCGACTAGAGAACACTTGTATTCGATCATAGAAGCCTTAATTTTAAATTTTGAAGGAACATAGTCCACCTTAGAGGCTTTATTCTTTGACAAGAAGTGAACATTAGACACAAAACTCAAAGACAAATGGATAAGACTCTTAAGCATAAAAATCTTGAAGAGAAATGAGAGAACAATGAAGCAAAACAAAGCATTCTTGAGCTAAAATTTCAGTTGTGCTTTCACTCCAATCTTTATACCCATTATTTAAGCATTCTTCCCCCCTTGTACTTACCTAGCAAAATCTACCTCTTGCAAGAACTCTTGCTATTCTTTGTAGCCACTTTTGTAAAAGTTCTACTTAGCCTTGAAAAGTTATTGTGAGTTGTGCTTACTCCCGATAAAAGGCAATTGTAAGGGTTATGCTTGCTCTCGTTAAAAAGGCATTTGCAAGTTATGGTTCAACTCGAAGAAAGCTGTTGTGAAGGTTACCACTTGGTCTCATTAAAAAGCATTTATAAAGGTTTATGCTTGATCCCGTTAAAAAGCACATTCCTTTAGTGGATTTGAAATTCCTTAGTGATCCAAGGGAAAAGACAGAGGCACTTAAGAAAATAGAACCTTTATAAAAATACTTAGGTCTTTAGTTTTATTTTTGCGTCGCTTTTGAATTACTTGTGCTCATACTTTTATTCATCTCTCCTTGGTTTGCATCTTTGTTAAACTTCTTGTATTCTCCTGACTTATTCATTTCTTGTTAAAATGGATTTCTTGAAAATAGTTCTTGATTTGGATTTCATTGCTTTACACTCAAAAACATGTTAATCATTTCAAAAGTGGTTTTTTTTTTATTTGATAGTGTAGACTTGCTTAAGATTCGCATAATTATCAAAGTTTTCAAAAGATTTCATTTTCAAGCTTTCAAAATGATTTTCTGGTCTAGGGTCGACTACAAGTCTATGTTAAATAGCTTTCAAAAGCTTTATCAAGGAGAAAACATGACCATAGTCGATTAGAGCTTCTCCATAGTCGACTATAGCTGTTCATTTCAAGTATTTCAAAATTTTTAAAGTCCAATTCACCTTTTCTTAATTAAACATTCTTACCACTTATTCATTGAGCTAATGCTTTTAACAAATCAAAACATGCTTTAAAAATCAAATAATCAAAGCTCATATAAAAAATGTAAAATTTTAAGAGAAAACTTGAAAATTTAAAAGATAAACATCAAGTAACATGAGGTGGAAAGAAGGAATATGAGTGGAAATGGCACAAGATAGTGGAGAAGTATGACAGTAATGAAGGATCTTAGCAAGAGAAACAAAGAGGAGGACAATGATATCAGAGCATGGTGGTAGTGGATGGAAGTAAGAAAAATGGGTTTTACTTCATAAAGAGGAGTGGGGTGCTAGGGGAGCAACATTAACAGAGAGAGGAATGAGAAAACGAGAGATTAATTTTTAAAATTGTAAGGACGAGTTTTCTCCAATTATGGTTTTTTTTCTATTTCGACTGAATTGGAATAACCATATTACCAAGAGAATCAATAATAAGTATTTTCATGCCTCGCAAAATAGTTATTTGCCAGTATGAAGTGAGAATAGGAATAAGGAAAATGGAATATTCTCCCAACCAGACATGCAATAAAGAGAAAATTTCGAATTTATCACCGAACTAAAGTTTAAGGCTTGAGAGGGTAATAATATAGTCCAAAACGTACTAACCAACCAATTAGTGCACTTTTATTAATCACCTGAGGTACAATACACCGGAGCTATCATAGGTAAGGTAACTTGATCGTGCCGACTTCCGTAAGTTTGGTTTGAAAATATTACAATATTAATAAATATTATATTTTAGTTAATTAAAATATTAAAATATTTTTAATATTTTATTAATAACGAAAATAACTTAGAAGAAAAAGCAATGCATGAATCTAAAAGTTTTTGAGAAATACACCTAAACTGTCCCGTTACCCTTGCCTTCTTTGAGAAGTTTTCCGGGTTCATTGTATAAGTTGGCTGGGAATCCTCCCATTTTCACATAATTTACCTCAAAGTCTTAATCTTATAACCAAAAATAAAAAAAACTCTGGGATCCCTTAGTACGGTACAGCGACGGCGCCCCATCGGCAGAGATATCGAAATCACTGTCCCTTTTTTGTTCTTCTCTGCTTCCTGTCTCCTCATTGTCCTCGTGATTCCATATCTCTTTATCAAAAGCAGCCGAATAGATGGATGGTGCCTTCCTCTTTTGTTCACCTTGAGAAGAGAGAAAGAGCTTTTGGGCAAGTAATCCAGAGTTATTCCTAACGAAACAGTAGAATTTCTTGGGTTATCTTAGCCGCCCATGCGTAATGGACGGCGCCGGAATTTGGAGACGTTGAAGAGTTAAAAGTATAAGAGCTGGCTTCCCGAAGGCCATCGGTGACCTGTGAATCTGACCTAACTTATTTATTTACATTTATTATTTGATTGCGTGAGCGCCGGCCTAACGGAGGCTGAGGGGGCACCCACTTCCCTAAAAGTTTTAAAATTATGTTACATATTTTTATATTTTAAATAAATAATAAATAGTTTTCTAATATATTTTTCAAGTGATTTCAACAGTTTAATAGTGCTTTGTAAAGAATTTTAATAACAGTATTTTTATTTTAAATTTTATATTGAAAATTTATTTATTTTTAATTATAAAGAAAAAAATTCTAATCGGATCAACCGATGTCAAACTTTTATTTGTCTAGCTTCTCCTTTGAAAAGGGTAAAGAGTGTAAATGATTGCAAAGCCATCCTTAACTAATCTCGTCTCTGTATAGGACAATATAGCTGTCTATGTCACCCAAATGGACCAACGAAGGATGGAGGAAATTAATATCATCGACCGATGGTTTGTGCGTAAGTCGTTCGATCTGCCAGTTGAACGTTGCTAATATCGCACGAGTGGTGCATCAAATCTTAATATATATAAGGTAGGAGGAGGAAAAGTGGAATAGGCAAGGAAAACTAAACTTTTGCCTCAGGGAATAAAATGCATGCCTTGGGTCTCCTCCGAAGTAGTCGTTCGTTTGCACTAGCCAAAAAAGCCTGTCATGGCAATCAGGTATGCTTAATGTTATTTGGCATAATATCTAATATTTTTGAATTATTTAGAAAAAGTTAAAATAATTTTTTATTCTTTCAATACAATCAATCTTGATTTTGTATTTTTTATTTTAAATCAAATATGAATTTATAACTGATAATCGATTAATTATCATTAATCAAAACTTTACATATCATTTTATGCCATATAAAATGATAGATGAAGTTTTTATTAGTGATTGTTTATCAACAGTTAGTTATAAGGTTCAATTTGATTAAAAATAAAAATATAAAGATTTGATTGAATGTAATTAAAGAATAAAAATTTATTTAAATTTTTTAAAATAATTCGAGAGTTTTTTAAAGTATTATGCCATGTTATTTTTTTTTATGACTTAGTATTTCGTTGTATATTATGTTATCAAGACCAATGTAATTAGAAGAGGGTTTTGGATTGCACTCACGAAAGAGTTTTGTTTGCTTCGAGATTCGACTCTCAAGTTTTTCCTTTGATAAAAGGTGTTGATTTGGAAAATAGATGAACGCTTATTTATAAGTCATAATCCAATTCATGGTTATGAAGGAAGGTGACCGTCATGACTATGGTATAAGTTTCCCGCAAATAAAGCCATTTGTTAATATAAAATTTTGAGAAAAAAGCTCTTGCTCAATAACCATGTCCTCAACAAGCCATCATGGGCTTTTCATGGTGAAAAAAGGCATGTAATGCTGTGTTGGTGAGCTTGAACTTGAACTAAATCGCTCTTTGATTCATGAGCCGGAGAATTGGAATAACAAAGGAGAGAATAAGAAGGGGAAGAGAGACCAGAGACCAGAGACCTATCCTATTATAGGTTGGTGTCTTCCTCTTCAGATTATTTAACTATAATAAATATTATAAAGAATATCATTCAATATTATTATTTGAGTATAATAAATGTAATAAAGAATATTTTTAAGTATTATTTAAATTTAATAAAAGAATATATTTGATCTTTTAATATTAAATATTATTTAATTACAATAAAAAGTTTAATTATCTTCTAATACAAAATATTATTAAATTATAATAAAAATATGCTTGTATTTTGATGGATTATAGTAAAAGGTCTTTTCATTTTATTACTTAGAATATTTTTATCTTTTAACAAAATAAATTCTTTAATTTCAATAAAGAGTATTTTCTTCTCATCATAATATTTTTTGTTTTTTAATTAAAAAATCTTTAAATTTTAATCAAAAGTATTTTTATCATTTACCAATTATTTCTTAACTATTTTTTAAAATTATTCTTGCCAATCAAAAAATGAAATGAGTAATAATAACAATTTCTATTTTATTTTATTTTATTTCTATGAACTCTTTTATTTTTTTAAAAATAATTATTTTATTCTCATTTTATGTTTTTCGGAACCAGGCATGTTGTTAGTATGGTACAACTTTGTTTTTGTTATGTTGATAATCAAGTACTGTAGGCGGCCAACTGGCCAAGGTTTGTTGTTGGTGGCTAGTTGAAGGGAAAAGGCAGAAAAAGAAAAGGAAATCCCATTTTGTAGCAAGTTTGGCAATATTACTTTTGTAGCAAGTTTGGTTGGAGGGGATGATTATTCCATTCCATTCCCTCCCTGTTCGTATTATTTAGTTATTCTTTATGGGAATGACTATTCTGAAAAATTATCATTTTGTGAGAAATCAAAGACTACTCTGAAGAATGGTTATTTTTTGACAAATCAAAATAGCCATTGCCAAGGGACCTCACTAATGGCTATCCCACACATGGAGAATAAACAAAACATATTATTGTACAAAATTACAAAATTTTAAGTATAAATTTTTAATATTTTAAAAATAAAAAATAAAATAAAATAATGATATTAATATTTCATTATAAATTATTAATATTTTGAATGAAATATAAATTATTAACATTAAAAAAATAAAATGAATAAAAATAAATAATTACGATACTAAGACTGTTTTAAAGCACAATTAATTATATTGGAGTAAATATTGGAATTTCCTTTCTGTAATCATACAATATTATTTTTACTTGAATTGTAAGAATGTCGCTTTTATTTCATTTTATTTTCACCTATTTTATTGTTTTGTAAAATTGAAAAAAAGCAATTTTCTCCATTTTGTCAGAAGAGAAAAAGGTTGAAAAACCTAAACACTCGCATGAGAAGGCTCAGATCTGATATGGAGGAAATAAGTGAGGAACAAAAAAGGATCAAAGAAGGGCAAAGGCAAGTAAGAGAAAAATTTGAAACCATTGAATTGGAATGTGAACAACTTCGCAAGGAGACTAACCTGATAATGCAGCAGAGTGCCAACACCCAAATCCGACTGGCTATCATGTTCCGAATCTTGAAAGCAAGAGAAAACCAAGACTTTGACCAGGCAGCCAAACTCACTTGTGCTCTTCGGTACTGCTCTTCATAATTTCACTAGTACAATTTGTTTAAGCTTCGTCAATTTTGGATTAATTTCCTCAAAAGTTTACTCTTGTCTTTACTTGTTCTCAATACTTGGTGATCCCATGGCTAACATTAACCTTTCCCTTTCTACTTGTTATAGTGCACTGATAGCGAAAGAATCAACAAAAGAATGCTGCAACCACGATCGTTGAGACATGCTATATTAAATAAAAAGGTGGGGACGAGCTCTATTGTTATATATTCGCAGTCCTAAACCAAAGTTTGCTTCCAACTTTAGGTTGCAACTATCTTTATCTTTAAATAGTAAAATTGAATAAAAGTTCATGCTGATGAACACTAAGTCTAGATTATTATGGTAGTATTGATGTTTTCTTTTCTAAATTGTATAATTTTGCTTAAAGTTTAGGCAAAATTATACAATTAGTCCTTGTACTCTTGCTTAGTGGTGGACTTTATCCTTGTACAATAATTCATAAAAATTGAGTCTTTATATTTTTCAAAATTGATAATGTCAGTCCAATTATTAATGGTGTATGCTAATATGACATTTGAGGAAACCAATTGTCACAACCCGATTTTGGGCCATGACCAACATAGGGGCCCAATAGACATAGCCCACTAAGCCCATACAAGCTTCTCATTCATAAACTTGTTTGAATGATATCATACATCCCATGATATTCACATATAGACATGAGCCCATTAATAATGTAACACCCCGTACTCTCGAATAGAAACCAATAAGACCTAATTGATAAGATGAAGAGTCAATTGATATAAATTTAAGTGATAAAAAACGATGATGGGACATGAGCCCATTAATAATGTAACACCCCGTACTCTCGAATAGAAACCAATAAGACCTAATTGATAAGATGAAGGGTCAATTGATATAAATTTAAGTGACAAAAAACGATGATGGGTGAAAAGAATATTTTGAAATAAAACATTTTGCATGCGAGAAAATAATAATCAAATGATAATATTTTTATCGAGGATGAATTAGCAAGTTAAAAGGCGATTTGGAAGTGAATCGGGGTAAAGTGAGACACTTTGAGACCCGATGAGACAAGTAGAGGATTTTGGAATAAAATAATATTTTATTAATAAAATAATATTAAAATATTATTTTTTATCGATTGTTAAAATTAGTCATAAAGGAGGAATATATGACTAGTCTAAGTGGGGAAGAAGAAGTAAGAAAGAATTTTGAAGAAAAACGATGTTACTATTAAATAAAGCTAGAGCGGGTAAGTATATATTTAACTATTATAGTGACACCTTAGTGAAGTGCAAATTTTATATTTTATTTGTAAAAGTGGAAAGGAAGGAAAATAGAATGAAATTGAAATTGAAGAAATGTTGGAAGGACCAAATTGTAAAGGATGAAAAGATTGGGGTTGAATGGTAAATAAGAAAAAGTTAGAGGACTTATGTGTAATTTCAATATTTGAAGGTAAATGGAAAATAACTAATCAAGCGAAGTTAAATTATGTGGGATAATGAGACGTGCATGTAAATTAACTATGAGACCCCTACCATGTGAAGTAAAAGGAAGAATAAAACTAAATCTTATTGCATGTAATAAGATTGGTGCATTAGGTGGCCAAATGAGGAAAGAAAGATGTGGGATGCATGTGACTTAAATAGATTAATGAATAACCAAATAAAATATAAAGTGAAGCTTGTGTATGAAATGTGAGTGGAGGAATAAGTTGGTGCATGAAATAAAGAATGAATAAAGGAAAAATGGGATAGTGAAGGTGGCGGATGGAGAAGTAAAGTAAGGATAGATTTTGGGCCAATGAATACAGGAGGAAATTGGTGTATGAAATTTGAGTGGGGGATGAAATGGTCCAACGAGAAGTGAATGATAAATAAAGAGATTTGAGTTGATGGAGGAACTTGGGAGAATCAGCCCATGCCAAAGAAAAAGTAAAAGCAAACAAATTAAGTTTGCCTTGAGAAAACTGCACCATTGAGAAAGAAAGGAAGAGAATTAGCCTTGAGAACAAAAGAGGGAAGAAAGGAGAAAGAAGAAAAGAGAAAGGAGAAAGAAGAAAAAGGCTTGGAGGAGGCTTGGCTTTGGAGGAGTTGGAGAAAAACTGAAAGGTTTTCTCTTGCATGCCATTATTGAAGCTTGAAAGAGAAAGTGGAGGTTTAGTTTGGAGATTTTAAGGTAAGAAAAGTAAAGGTTGTCATTTTGTTTGAATGCATGTTTTGTAAATCGATTATAATGTGGGATTTTGGTTGTGGTAGCCAGAATCTTCAAGGATTCAAGAACCGGATGCATGCATGTAGGTGGATCTTGGAATGCAGGGTGCTTTTGAGCTAGATAAGTAATGGGTAAGTGTTTTAGTATTGAAATCACAAGAAGACAAGTGGAATGAGATGTGTATTAATTGTCTATTTTTGTGGTAGCAATGGTGATCGAGGATGTGAGGAGCTTGTGACTTATGTGAGGGATTCAAAGTGAAAGAAAACCAAGAGGTAAGCATGCAATGGACTACATTGTGTTGTGTTGGCTTTGGTTGATTGATAGTATGTGGATTGTATGTTAAATGATTGTGAATAATGTTGATGAAAACTATTGAACTAGAATAAATATTTATTGATTGAGGTGCTGCCTGTATATGAACACAATTAAGTGTATTGGGTTTGAATTGTTGCTAGGAAGTGTGTGAGAAAAGAAAGTTGTCGTGGTGGCGTGCCGGAAGAGGTAACGTGTGACCAGCAAGTAGAATTAGTTAGATATGCACCCGATCGATAGTGATGTAGTATCCCGCTATTGTAAAGTGAGTTGAAGGTGTCTATTTCAAAAATTTTATTCTATATACATATCGATACCTGATTAATAAACGAGCTGGTTTGCTTTAAATGCAATTTGTGGACAGCATGTTTTGTTAGCCTTGGTAGGCAATTTTTAAATGATTTGCAATCAAGTTATATTGAATTTGTGGACAGCAAGAGTTGGCAGAATACTAGGCTTGTGAATGTCATGCTTTTAACGAGGTTTTGAATATATGTATATATAGCTATATATGCAAAGGGTTTTAGAAATCGGGAAACAAGCTTTTTACCAAGATTTATGTCAAAACGTGCCTTATTGGTTTCTGTTATGTGCATTCATGAACAAATTACATATATTCACCATGCTGATTTGATATTTAAACTTCATGTAAAGGCTTTATATTATAAGTCTTACCAACAATTTTATCATGTTACCATGAATAGTGTTTTTCTTAGAAATAGGTTTTAAATGAGCTTTTAAGAACCAAACTTGCTTTTAAATGGTTTTATCAAACTGGGAGATTCGAGAGTAGGTCGAATGTCACATCGAGATAGTGTGACTCTTGTGCACAACTGAGCTCTAGCTAGAGAACTTTTGAGTCCTTGACGGGCTGTTAGACATGGTTGGGGCCACAGTCTGTGATGTATATACGTGGCTAGGCCATAAGTTGATATACGTGGTTGCGACCACATGACTTCTTTGATGTTGGCTAACATTGTCGAGACTGCCATAGCTGTGGGAATTCAGCGGAGGAGGACCTCCCGGATTGTTATTACGTGGAAACGGGTCCACGAGTGATTAACTATGATTATCTACTCGAGAATGACGTCTCTTTGGGTTTTCAAACACGAATTCTTTCGCATTGTGAGAATTATAAGATGTTCCGCAGCTCTGTTGTTTATACAGTGATTTTATATTTAAACTCCTCGAGGATGAGATAATTTATGAACTTGTGCATAAGTTTTAGTAATGTTTGGTTTTATGGGAGCATGCGTGATTATATTGATTTGCTTTAAGGAGAGTTGTTAAATGATTTCGATGGTGTAAATATTAACTTGTATTGGTTTCGATACTTGATTTAAATGATTATCTTGTGTTAAAATTCTTGATTTTACATGTAACGCACAAATCTCCTTTTTGAGTTAAATTGTTTACATATATTCTTATATTTTTAATATTCAAATCTTCTGTCCTTAGCTTGTTTCTCATCAACGCCCCACTCATGGAGCCGATGATCACTGAGTTTGTGGGACTCACCCCCTTTATCTTTCTTTTGCAGATAAGTGATTAGCTTGAGTGTATTACCCCAACATATTTTGATTCGATGCGACATAGGTAATGACATTTCTTAGACTTCCACTTCGAGTTGCTCCGCTGCTTAAAGGTCATTACAGTGTTGTGTAAACAGCAAGACTTATAAAAAGTATTAGTTTATTTGTAATGTATTGCTAAAACCTTGAGTTTGAGAAATGAATTCTAAGTGTGATGTTGAAACTCGCCCGAAGTCGGTTATACTTGGATATTGTTAACTAGTTGCTACACCTTAATTTCAGTTGTTTATTTGGTTTAAGTAAACGATAGTATTATTATTACCAGTCAATTACATACGCGATAGAATGTTTTGATTTAATTATCTGAAATCTCAAATAAGGGTCGTTTGGGATTTGACGGTTCAGTCATAAATCTCAAACGCCGGTAACGATTGGGAGGAAGGTTGTTGCAAATTACATATATATTAACTCAAAATATATCAAACTTGATATAGGAACAATGTTCTCATAAGTTATATACCATTGGTCACCTCGTGGTTACATCATAGTTTACTAGATACATGACACATACAAAGTAACCCATTATTGTACAATGGATTGACTCTGGCTGTGGATACGGCTATTGAATGCCAAATGATAAATGTAACACCCCGTACCCTCATTTAGAGGTTAATAAGATTCTATTAATGAGAAGAAGAGTCATTTGACATAAATCTAAGCGTTAGAGAACAGTAACAAGTAAAAAGAATATTTTTAAATAAAATAATATTTTATGAATAAAATAATATTAAAATATTAATATTTTATTTATCAGTGAGATTAGTTAAAATAGGAGGTTTTATGACTAATCTAAGTAGGGGAGAAGAAGAAAAGAAGAAATTCGGAGGAAAACAATGCAGTTAGAGGGAACCCGTGTGTCTTTATGAAATAGAGCATAATCGAGTAAGTATATATTTAAATATTATGGTGACATGTTAATGGGGTGCAAACTTTATATTATATTTGTACACATGTAAAGGAAGGAAATAGAAGAAAATTGGAATTTAAAAAGTGATGGGAGGACTTAATAAGAAGAATGAGAACTTAAGACGGTTAAACGATCATTTTACTATTTAGCTTATTCAAAGCTTACAAAGGAAGCTTTCACTTCTGTTTCTCTTATTCTTTCCATTTATGGCTGGCCACCTACGTGAGACTTTGTTAGAAATTTGGTACAAAGAAAGGAAGGAAAGGATGGGAG